TTGATCCATATATCGGAATGGAGTTCTCTACTCATGAGGAAGCTTATAATTTCTACAATGCATACGCCATACTTAAGGGATTTGGTGTTCGTAAGGGTCACACAACTTGGTCGAGAAAGAAAGATGCAATCCTATCTAGAATATTTGTATGTGACAAAGAAGGCTTTAAATCTTTAAAAGATAAAAGAGAAGATGGTCGAAATGTAATTCGAAAGTTCGATACAAGATGTGGATGCAACGCAAGGATGGTTATTGGACTTGATAGAAGCACTGAAAAATGGGTGGTCCGAAAGTTAAACAGTAAGCATAATGGTCATCCATTAACCACCCCAACTCGGGTAAAGAAGCACTACTCACATCGGACACTTCATCGAGCTCAATCGACAAAAAGGTTGATAGATACTCTTGACAATCAAGGTTTACGGCCTTCTGCCATTTGTAAGGTTGTAGACGTTGCTCATGGCAATGAACAAGGCTCTCTCACTCAACAAGAATGCCAAGCACAACTTAGACTTAAACGAAGAAACAACGTCGGCCATGAGTGCGTGAACATAGTTCGTCAATTTCAAGAGAAAAAGGTATCTGATCCTCAATTTTACTTCGCACTTGATTTAGAAAATGATGGGACGATGAGAAGTGTTTTTTGGATGGATGGTAGGGCGAGGACTTCTTACTTGCAATTTGGAGATGTTGTTTGCTTTGATGTTACGTATAGAACGAACAATTTAAAATTGCCGTTTTCACCATTTACGGGTGTTAACCATCATTGACAATCGACTCTATTTGGGTGTGCGTTATTGGCCGATGAAACAGAGGAGACGTTTATATGGTTATTTAGCCAATGGTTAAAATATATGTCGGGTATATCACCAGTAACAATCATCACTGATCAAGATAAAGCTATGTGTGGTGCAATTCACAAAGTTTTTCCTAAAACTCGCCATCGCTTTTGTTCTTGGCACCTTCGTAGGAATGCCTTACAAAATCTTCAATCAATGCATAATGATTATGGTGAGGATGTTTCTATAAAGTATAACAAATGGTATTGGAGTAAATCGGAAGAAAAATTTGAAAAGCGTTGGAAAGAAATGAGGGACAAATATGGTGCAGATAAAAGGAGTTGGTTAGTAAATTTATACAATCATCGAGATCATTGGGCTCCAGTGTATCTTAAAGACACTTTTACTGCAGGAATGACATCTACTCAGCGGAGTGAGGGAATTAATGCTTTTTTTGATCATTTTGTGAATGTAAATACCGAGTTATATGATTTTGTTAAGCAGTATGATAATGCTGTCAGAGCTCGCCGAGCCGCTGAACTTGAGCAAGATTTTAAGTCCACAAACTCAGTTCCTACATTGATAATTGAACATCCCATTGAAAAACAAGCTCGGGAGAATAAGTCCACAAACTCAGTTCCTACATTGATAATTGAACATCCCATTGAAAAACAAGCTCGGGAGAATTACACGAAGAATCTGTTTACTATCTTTCAGAAAGAACTCAAGGATAGTTACTCCATGCTTCATGTTTCAGAAAGAACTCAAGGATAGTTACTCCATGCTTCATGAAAAGTTGTCGAAGGACGGCGCAAGTGCTACTTATGCCGTTTGGAATATAGATAGCGAGGCTGAAAGCAAGAAGATAGTAAAGCATCATGTTGTTTTCGATACATTCAAAAAAAAAAAGAATTAAGTGCTCTTATGCGAGATTTGAGATGGAAGGTATATTATGCAAACATAGCTTGCACATTTTAGTAAAGAAGCAAGTATTAGAAATTCCATCAAGATATATGTGCAACGATGGACAATTAAAGCAAGACATGTTGGTTGCGGAGTTGTTAGAAATTGCATTACAAATAGTGAAGACCAACTATCTATCATTAAACATTGGGCCCTTAGGAGTAGATGTAACAAGGCACTAGAAGATACATTGACTTCAAGTACACTTCATGATAAGTTTAGTGCTTTTTTAGACTCATTTTTTGAAAAAGTTGAGAATTCCAAGATTGAGAAGGAACATAACGACAATGGAAATGAGAGCAATGCCAGCAATAAGATGCCTACTTCATCCATACCCATCTCTATAGAGGAAGCAACTCAAATCACTATTCGTGATCTAGATAAGCCTGTTGCCACGAAGGGACGACCAGCACATGCTACTAGAATTAAGTCGGGAGTGGAGATAGCACAAGAAAAGAGTATAAAAAAACAAAGATTTTGTGGGTTTTGTAAGGGAAAAGGACATTATATAACGAGTTGTCCTTTAGCTAAGGTATTATACTTAATCTTGATTTAATATTTTTTCAATGTCTTTGCATTTGTCATGATAAAGTTGTAATTTTTTTTGTAGAACAAAAATGTTGCTGGTGGAGGTCGAGAAAGTTAACGACATCGCCAAAACAAAGTTTACGGAGGGCCAAAACAAAGCATGTGTTTCGGTTGAATGTTCACAATTTGATTTATTCACTTTTCCCTTAAGATTTATGTATGTATGGATGATAATGTGGTTGTATGGATTAATCATGTATGGATGATAATTTGAATTAATTTTTTCCCCCAGAACAATGAGGAACAAAACAGTATTAAGTGGGTACAAAACGAGCAATTAGTGGGTACTAAACTTGAATAAGTGGGTACAAAAATAAAATCATGGCATTATTAGGTACAAAGCTTGATTAAGTGGGTACAAAGCTTGATTAAGTGGGTACAATATTTGAATCCAGAGCAAAGAGGTATAAAAGGGTGCCTAAGTAGGTACAAAACGTGTATAAATGGGTACAAAACTTGAATAAGTGTGTACAAAATTTGCAGCAGAATAATGAGGTACAAAACATGGTTAAGTGGGTACAAAACTTGAATAAATGGGTACCAAACTTGATTAAGTGGGTACAAAACTTGATTAAGTGTGTACAAAAGTTTTTACAAGTAGGTACAAGGCTTGATTAATTGGGTACAAAACGTGTATAAATGGGTACAAAACTTGAATAAGTGTGTACAAAATTTGATTCCAGTATATTGAGGTACAAAACATGGTTAAGTGGGTACAAAACTTGAATAAATGGGTACCAAACTTGATTAAGTGGGTACCAAACTTGATTAAGTGGGTATAAAAGTTTTTACAAGTAGGTACAAGGCTTGATTAAGTGGGTACAATATTTAAGCAACGTAATAGAACTAACTCTGTATGTTCTAGAACTAACAAGAGGACAGCTAGAACTAACAAGGAGTGAGCTAGGGATATCATGACATAACAGAACAAACACTTGGGCTAGAAATAACGCCAGCACGAAGTAGAACTAACAGGAGATGGGCTTGAACTAACAGGAGGGCATCTAGAACTAACTAGGAGTGAGCTAGGGATAACATGGCCATCTCGAGTACAAACACTTGTGCTAAAAATAACGTGGCACGAAGTAGAACTAACTCGAGATGTGCTTGAACTAACAGGAAGACATATAGAACTAACAATGACTGAGATAGGCCTAACATGGGCCACAGAACAAACACTTGTGCTAGAAATAACGCCAACTTGAAGTAGAACTAACTCGAGATGTTCCAGAACTAACAGTAGGACAACTAGAACGTGTATAAATGGGTACAAAACTTGAATAAATGTGTACAAAATTTTGATTCCAGAATAATGAGGTACAAAACATGGTTAAGTGGGTACAAAACTTGAATAAATGGGTACAAAACTAGATTAAGTGTGTACAAAAGTTTTTACAAATAGGTACAAGGCTTGATTAATTGGGTACAAAACGTGTATAAATGGGTACAAAACGGTACCTAAGTAGGTACAAAACGTGTATAAATGGGTACAAAACTTGAATAAGTGTGTACAAAATTTTGATTCCAGAATAATGAGGTACAAAACATGGTTAAGTGGGTACAAAACTTGAATAAATGGGTACCAAACTTGATTAAGTGGGTACCAAACTTGATTAAGTGGGTATAAAAGTTTTTACAAGTAGGTACAAGGCTTGATTAAGTGGGTACAATATTTAAGCAACGTAATAGAACTAACTCTGTATGTGATAGAACTAACAAGAGGACAGCTAGATATAACAAGGAGTGAGCTAGGGATATCATGACATAACAGAACAAACACTTGGGCTAGAAATAACGCCAGCACGAAGTAGAACTAACAGGAGATGGGCTTGAACTAACAGGAGGGCATCTAGAACTAACTAGGAGTGAGCTAGGGATAACATGGCCATCTCGAGTACAAACACTTGTGCTAAAAATAACGTGGCACGAAGTAGAACTAACTCGAGATGTGCTTGAACTAACAGGAAGACATATAGAACTAACAATGACTGAGATAGGCCTAACATGGGCCACAGAACAAACACTTGTGCTAGAAATAACGCCAGCTTGAAGTAGAACTAACTCGAGATGTTCTAGAACTAACAGTAGGACAACTAGAACTAACTCGATAGGGGATAGAACTAACAGGTGGACAGCTAGAATAGAACTAACTCGAGATGTTCTAGAACTAACAGTAGGACAACTAGAACTAACTCGATAGGGGATAGAACTAACACTTACTCTGCTAGGGATAACATGGCCCACCAGAATAAACACGAGATCACATGTTAGCTCTAATCGATTTCATGTCAGTTCTAACCGTTGTGAATTCTATTACAGCTCTATGCGAGGTCAAATTTGCCAGAACAAAACATGATATCTTGTCATCGCTATCACAAGCTGGTATGACAAGCTGTCATTATCTGCATTTTAATTGCATGGTGCTATGATGAGGTCATGCAAATTTTACAGTTCATCTTACATGTAGCTTAACAATGTCAAGGCGAGGCATGTGATTGTTGGCCACATGCATTTAACATTTATTGCAGCCTTAAGTTGTTATAGCTACATTGTACTTGCATAACTGTTTGTTGATGAAGAGCTTGAGCACTGTTTTTTGGGCTGTTACCTATATGCATGATTTACTTGTGCAATGATGACTATCTTTTACCTGATATTCTTCACCAGTAGATAGTACATGCAATGTTTTGGCGAGGTAATCCAAACATTTACGTAATCAGATGAGGAGTAACATGTATAGGAATGCACCCAACATTGTGGTGTAATTGTTTACTGGTGTGGGATATATGATAATGTAGACATATATCTGAGCACAATTTGTCAAACTTTATTTATCATTCTCACCATTGGAATATAATACTCTTAAGCTTTTAATATAAAGCCGTTGAATTAGATTATTAACACTTTGAAATATATATCTTTGCTTGTCATGCTTTCATTGCTATCATGTTTGATTTCAGATACCTATTGCTTGTGATTCCTCTTGTTCTCACTTTGGGAGTTTCTGGCATATGCAACGTGCAGTTTGTGTTGCTGGTTTAATCACAGAAGTTTTTGTTACCTATATGCATGGTGGGATTTGCTGCATCATTTTCATCTCAATCTGTTCAGTTTTGTATTTGAACTCAGACTTTACACATGAGTCCCTGCATTCTTCTCAAACTTTTGCATTACATTTTCAAACAGCAGATTACAATGTTTATGACAACAAGGGAAATACTAAATATTCCTAAAACAACAATACATTTCTTCAAGTAAACAACTTGTTGGTTTGCAAGCTTTAATTCTCTTCGCAAGTGCTTGGTTTCCACATCTTTAACTTGGGAAACTGATTGAGGAGAGGGACATTCAAAATTTACCTTACGCTGGTTGTTATCATGATGCTCTTCTGCCCACCTGAAATACTGGCATTGCCTATTTGGATAGTTGGCGCAGCCCCAAAAGTATTTGCCCTTGTTTACTCCTGATCTGCAAAGCTTTAGTGGTGTCGGTATGTTACAGTAGCACGTTACCTCTGCAGCTAATTCATGAGAGTCTTGGCTTGTTTCCATGTCGCAGCTTTAATTGCCTTTATGCTCAAGTATTTTTGCCCAGGTTTCTTGCAATTTTATGAGAGAATATGTTGAGGAGGATGGAGTTGATCCTAACTATATAAGTGCAGGGGTGGGGTAAATTGTTTCCGTTGGAAAAATCTTGTTGTTAGCAAAGAACCTGGCGTGCACTGTTTTGAGTTGTGGTTTTTTGACCGTTGCACAATTTTTACCGTTGCTGGTTTCAGTTGGTTTTTTGGGGAGGTAAGCTCACCGCTTGAACTTGCTAAGCTGGTTTCCTATATTTGAGGTTGTGCAATACGAACAGGTGAAATGCAAGAAATGTGACAAAGGACAATACATTTCTTTATTGCAAAGAGTTGAAACGAACACAATAAATGTGAAATTTGATTTCAATCCCTTGATTTCCATGTTGAAACGAACATAATACTTCAAATCTGAGAAAACACATTGAAATGCTGAGAATTTGTTCTCGTGGTACATTGCTGGTTTCTTTTTTTTTACGGAAAACAACCGAACAGGCCCTAACATGAAATCGATTTACTACTAGTTCTAGGACAAATTCCATTTTAGGTCAAATATGTTATTTCTAATCGATTTCATGTTAGTTCTAATTGATTTCTTGTTAGTTCAGATGAATTTCATGCTAGTTCTAACACAAACAGCTGTTAC